ATTGATTCAGTGACTGGGGTAATTGGGATGGGTGTATTGGAGACGGTGCGATTGGCACAGGACAGAGCAGAGTTTAGGGCTGTTGTACATAGAGTCGCTATGAGTCGCAAGCAACTTGACGGCACATAACAACAACAACAATATTCAGAAAAGCTCAAACTCATTGCCATCAAGTTGGAAATGACTTTTACAGCTGACCCCTTAGTGAGTGTTCAGAAGCTGTAAATCACGTGGGTGCTGACTGCCCATCTTTCTCCCACAGCCTACTGCTCTCAAACTGCCAGACACACCAGCTTTGGGTTAGCAGAACAACTCCATTCTATGCCACCAGAGCTCCCCAAATAATGATGGGATATGGTTGTGTGTGATCTAAAAACATAACATTCAAGCAAATAAAAACTACCCTCTTATCCATTTTCTCCTTTATTACAGGAAGAGGAGACTTTAGAGACATCGAAAGTAAGTTTGCCCTAAGGACACCAGAAAATACAGCTGAAGATACTTGTCACCTTATTCCTGGAGTGACAGAATCTGTGGGCAACTGTCACTTCAACCACAGCAGCAAAACCTTCGTGGTGATCCATGGCTGGACGGTAAGAGGGCTATTTTGGGAAGGAGGATGGAGTAGACCAGACATCCCAAGGAGCTATCTTAGTTGCTAGGAAGCTGTTTGTTGATAAGTTTCTCTCTCCTATTTCTGCTTACTCTGTTTTGCTTTAAACTTGAGGAAAGGCAGTTTTTGTTCAGAGCAGGGGATCATGATATCTACAGTGCTTCCTCTGAACACCATCTCTGTACACTGTAACAAGGTACTGAACAGTACTACTTCCACGAGATGAGTTCACTGTGGTGAACGCCCAGGGACCTGGCATGGACTTTATTGCTCCTGCACTTGGCTAATGTCCTTTCCTTCAGGGGTTTGGGGCAGGGAGAAGCCTGCATTACAGTGGAGGGAAGAGGCATGGGTTCTGATTCTGGTTTTCCCACTTTCTAACTCTGTGATGTGGGGTTAAGTGCCTTCCCATTTCTGGGCCCCAGTTTATCCATCTCTGAAACAAAAAGTTGCAGTAGATACCTCTATGATAGTTCCACTTTCAACATTTTCATATTGTAAACATTTGGGAGCGCTGGTGGCCTAGTGGCAGGAAACCGCACTGCAATCCCGAAGGCACAAGGTTTGAGGCCACCACCTGCCCAGAGGGAGAAGGATGAGCAATCTCCTCCTCTGTGATTAACTTCCTCTAAAAACCAACCCACTGGAGGTTCAGCTATGAGTCAATTCCAACTTAACAGTATACAATGACTAACCTTAGAAGGGTTTTTTTGGTTTTTTTTTTTTTTTTTTTTTGAGAGATTGATATTTGTGTCATGCAAGATGATTACAAAGGATGAACACTGTGGCTAAATTCACTTTCCCACTTGATAAAATAATTCTCTGTACAGTTCTTGTTTAACTACTTTGTTTTTAATTTCTAGTCTTCATATTCCACTGTTTATTCATCATTATTAAGTGAATGAGGAATCCCCAGACAGTAGTTCAGTTTCTTTTCTAAAAGACAGCTGCAAAGGGTGGTCTACCTATCATGGTCTACTCCATGAAGAGTGGAGAAGTAGAGGCGGAACTCCTCAGAGTTTTGTCCAGGTGAACCTGCCATCTGGTTTCCTCAAAAACTCTGCTCCACACAGACGTGAAGTAGCCTTGCTAGATATGTCAAAGGAGGGTAAAGTCAGTTCCTAGTGAGCAAGCATCACCTCTTGTTCACCCTTAGTTTCCCTCTGTTTTCTCACATGCTTAGACTAGCTGTGGAGTCGGCCAGTAGACTGACACTGGCCACGAGTAGCCATTTACAAGGTTGAAGGTAACTTCTTGATCATCTGAATTAGTCCTTTGGTTTTGTAGGTGGCCTGGGAAGATTAAAGCAATGACTGGGTTCGTAGATATGGTTGATGTAAAAGCTGGGCCTGGAACCAAGATCTTTCAAGTCTCAGGCTTGCTTCTCCCTCCCCTGCCCCCCACACTTTCACCAAAACTCACTGCCACTGAATCGGCTCCTAGTCAGAGCAACCCTCTGTTGGGTTTCCGAGAATGTAAATCTTTACAAGAGGAGACTGTCTCTAGTACTGAGTGGCTGATGGACTTGAACTATGTGCCTTTAGTTAGCAGCACAAGGTATTGCACACAATGGTACCACAGCTTCTTTCCCTTCAGCAAAGAACTGTATAAACTTGGTGGGCTATGGCACAAGGTGTTAGTCTTGTGAGTGAGGGTAAAACCAGCACTTCATAGCTGTAGTTTAGAAAACTGACCAAACAAAATAAAAGCATAACTCTGGAGTTATGCTTGAAAGTTATAAGGTCAAAGTTCAGGATGAAGTCCATTGCTTTAGGGATCCAAGGCTAAAAAGAATCTGATCTATGCAGGTCTTCCTTTAAAAGTTGCCTTGTTGTTGTTATGTGCCATCGAGTCATTTGCGACTCATAGCGACCCTATGTACAACAGCCCTAAACCCTGCTCTATCCTGCACCAACCGCACCGCCTCTGACACACCCATCCCGATTACCCCAGTCACCGAATCAATCCATCTCATAGAGGGTCTTCCCCTCCTGCGCTGTCCCTCCACCCTCCCAAGCATGATGTCCCTCTCCAAGGACCCGTCCCTCCTGGCAACATGTCCAAAGTATGTCAGACGAAGCCCCAGAATCCTTGCCTCCAAGGAACAGCCTGGTTTAATCCTCTCCAAGATGAATCTGTTTGTTTCCCTGGCAGTCCATGGCACATTCAGTACCCTTCTCCAGCACCACAGCTCAAAAGCATCCACTCTCCTTCTGTCCTCCCTAGTCATTGTCCAACTCTCTGATGCATAACAAGCGAAGACAAAGACCATGGCCTGTATCAGGCGCACCTTAGTCTCCAGAGACACTGTTGCTCCTGAGTACCTTTGAGAGGTCCCTAACAGCAGACTTTCCCATTGCGATACGCTTTTTGATTTCCTGACTGCTGGAGAGTGTTGAATGTGATGCCGAGCAAACTGAAGCTGTGAACACTCTCAATCTCTTCATCATCCATCCTGACGCTGCCAATTGGTCCAGTGGCGAGAATCTTTGTCTTCTTGACATTGTGCCTTAGATATGAATTTAAAAGTCTTTTGTCTATTTAGAATATAGTTGAGCATCTTTTATTGTGCTTACAACATGACAGACTCTCAAATAGTACTGGTGGTAGGTGGATATGAGGTTCTGTCTAAGTTTATTACTTATGGACAAGCTCATGGCAGGATGGTGTGGAATTTTAATGCTGGGTTTTTGTTTTGTTTTTACTGTGTTTTGATGATTTTAAAGCCTGTGTCTTTACTAACTGTCCAGTTACCCTTCTCTGAAGCATTGGTTAAAATTATGAATAGTGTGAATATGAGGGATCCAGAGTGTTTTCCTCTTGGACTTCTGGGTCCTTCTTTACAAGATGAAAAGAATTATAGTTGTTAGCTTGCTTATTCTCCAAGCAGGACCTACCTAATTGTTGTTGTTGTTGTTGTTATGTGTTGTCGAGTCGCTTGCGACTCATAGCAACCCTATGTACAATAGCCCTAAACTCCGCTCTGTCCTGTGCCAATCACACTGCCTCTGACACTCCCATCCCGATTATCACAGTCACTGAATCAATCCACCTCATAGAGGGTGGTTGTGTGCCTTTGAGTCAATCCTAACTGATAATCATCCTCCAAGACAGAGTAGATCTGCCCCTCAGGGTTTCCTAGGTAAGTATTTAGGGATCAGGTCACCTCATCTACCTCCCTATAGAGGGGCTGTGCTTTCAGAGTGCCAACCATTTTAAGCCTCATGATTTGGACTCAGAGAATTGAGTTAACTGTGGAGAAATCTGAGATAAAACAAACCACTGCTAAACAAATGTACTTTTTTGTTGTTGTTGTTGTTATATGTTATTGAGTCACCTGTGACCCATAATGACCCTATATACAGCAGCTCTGAGCCCAGCCCTGTCCCGAGCCAGTCTCATTAATTCTGACACACCAAACCCCATATCCCCAGTCACAGTATCAATCCATCTCATCTGGGGTATTCCTCTCCTGTGCTATCCATCCACCCTTTCAAGCACAATGTCCTTCTCCCAGCATTGATCTCTCCTGGCCATTTGTTCGAAGTAAGTGAGGCAGAGCTTCAAAATCCTAGCCTGCAAGGAGAACTTGGTTTCACCCTCTCCAAGACAGACTTATTTGTTTTGTTTGTGGTCCAGACTTATTTGTTTTGTTTGTGGTCCGTGGTATGTTCAAGACTCTTCTCCAGCACCACAGTTCAAAGGGGCATCAATTCATCTTCTATCATCCTTAGTCATTATCCAGCTCTCTGATGCATAGCAAGTCATTGTGAAGACCATGGCCTGGATTAGGCATGCCTTAGTCTCTAGTCTGACATCATTGATTTTCAGTACTCTGGAGAGGTCCCTGATAGATTTTCCCAATGCAGTTCTTTAGACTATATTAATTTGTTTAAAATTATTTTTCCATTGACACATCAAATGTTGTGTATAGAAGACTCTTATTTTAAAAAGGAAGAAAGGAAAAAGATATAGATTTACATCCACAAAAACTCTTTTGTTGAGAAACATTCAGTAGACTAATTGAAAGCAATTAAACTAAAACTCTTTTAACATAGTCTTCCTTTCTTCTGCCAAGATTTGACTCATTTGGACTGTCCTTCCTCCTACTAATACAAATTGCTAGAAGCCCTGCTGAGGGCGTAGAAGATGTTTTTAACACTGAAAGAGGAGTAAAATCCAATCAGCTGTTCTGGCACTGCTCATTGTCATACTCTAATTTCTCCCCAATGGGTAGCCATCATTTCTGTGGGTTTTTTGTTGTTTGTTTGTTTGTTTGTTTGTTTTGTTTTTTTCACCCAGGTCATACTTTTTCACTGTAAACTGTTTTCCACTTAATCTGTCCTTCAGGCCAGTCAGTGCATCTGTATAAGTTGGAGATCGGCATTTTGAGAACGTTTGCATGGTCTTTTGCAGGTGACAGGGATGTATGAGAGCTGGGTGCCCAAGCTCGTGGCAGCCCTGTACAAGAGGGAACCAGACTCCAACGTCATCGTGGTGGACTGGCTGCTGCGGGCCCAGGATCATTACCCCACGTCCGCAGCACACACCAAGCTGGTGGGAAATGATGTGGCCAGGTTTATCAACTGGATGGAGGTAAGAGTGGATGAAAGTATCCAAAACAGATCTCTGAGATAGAACAAAGCAGGTGCTGGTCTCCTCCTATTTTTATTTAGCTGTGTCATATGGCTTTGAGAGGGCACAGCCGGAGTGGTCCTTGGCCTCACATACTTTGGGTATGTTGCTAAGAGGGGCTATTCCTTAGAGAGGGACATGATAGTGCAAAGAGTGGCAGGTCAGCAAAGGAGAGGAAGACCCTCAGCCAGGTGGGCTGATGCAGTGACTGCCTCAGTGAGCTCTTGTGTGTCAGGAAATATAAGGACGGCACAGGATAGGGCAGGGTTCAGATCTTTTGTTCACGGGGTCTTTATGAGATGCGCTTGACTTAACAGCAACTAACATTTTCTGTGACAATTCAAATCTTCAGAGGGTCATCACAGACACTATAATTTTAACCAAAAGCACTCTTAAGATAATGCCAATGCATACTCTTGGTCTGCCCTGACCTTACATTTTTTCACAATGAGTAGATCTGCTGACACTGAGAATTAAGTGGGAAGAACAGACAAAAGCTTGTTATTTCAGGATAGAGGGAAGATATGGTATTCAGCCAAATCTTTCTTTATAGTTGGCTGTCACAAGGAAATTTTATTCTGGTTTTGACCCTAGTAGAGTCTCTTTGGCAAAAACACTATTGCTATTGTTCTTTGCTGTTTAGTTGATTCTGATTCATTGCTCTTCTGTGGCATAGAGGATGGCTGCCCCATAGGGTTTCCTAGACTGAAATCTTTAAGGGAGTAAGTACCTCACCAGATAATTTCTTCTGCAGAGCAACTGGTGGGTTCAAACTACTGACCCTCTAGTTATGAACTGCAGCTCAGCTAAGATAAAGTGTTACAGAGACTTTAGAGTAGGAAATCATGGGGTAAAATTAAATAAGCACATTATACAATTAGGAAGAAGGATTGGCCACCCACTTCTGAAATGACAGGCCTTTGAAAACCCTATGTACAATAGAGCAAATTTAGATTAGCAGATATGTCAACTGAGGCTGAGCCCTCAAGTATGGAAACACAAAGGAGGAGAAAGAGTTGTAAACAGACACTAGGGACTGGAACATGGAATGTAAGAACCATGAATGTAGGAAAACTGGACCTTGTTAAGAAAGAAATGGAAAACATAAATATGGACATACAAGGTATTAATGAAATGAGATGATCTGGCATGGGACATTTTGAGTCAGATGACTATGCTGGAGATGAAAAAGTGAGGAAAAATGGGGTTACTGTCATAGTTAAAAAAGTCATTTCTAGATCTGTCTTGAAACACAATGTTGTGAGTGACAGGGTAATATTCATACGCATACAAGGAAGTCCAGTGAATATCGCTATGATTCACTAGCAACTGAAGCTAACGAAGAGAAAATAGAAGAGTTCTACCAACTTTTGCAGTCAGAGATCAATCAACTTGCAATTAAGATGCATTAACAATAATGGGTGATTGGAACACTAAAGTTGGGAACAGAAAAGAAGGATCAGTAGTTGGAAAACATGGACTTAGAGACAGAAATAAAGCTGGAGCCAGAAATAAAGAATTTTGTACAATCAATGATTTATTCATTGCAAATACTTTTTATAAGAAACACAAATACAGGCTATACACATGGATTTCACCTGATAGTATACGATTACATCTGTGGAAAGAATCGCTGGAGAAGCTCAATATCAGCTGTGAAAACTAGGCCAGATGTGGATTGTGGAAAAGACCACCAACTA